GTTGTATTATCTGTGTGGTGACGGATTAAGAATACAAAGTGAATTTGGGACAAAATCACAGTGAACTGTGATTAATCATTTGATTTTTGCCTACGTAAGTTGCTAGGTAGGTAGGTTAGACGCTATTTAACAGTAAATATAGTATTTATTAAATTATTATGTAGTGTCCGTGTAGTGACGGACTAAGAATACGGAATGTCACTATCCCAATTTATCCCGTGGGTGTCGTAAAAGCCGACTAAGGGAGCAAAACAACGCAGGATACCAGCACTGCAAAAAGAAGGAAAACTGTACACAAACCCTTCACCAACCCGTCTGGTCAGAGTGGTATAGTAGGCCAAATCCTTCTTTCTAAGGAGAGGCCTATGTCCAGCAGAGGACTAGTAAAGGCTGTTGATGTGTGATGTGATATAGTGTATGGTAGCTTTATATAATTACATAATTACTAGATTTACTATCTAATAGGCGATATAGGGTTGTGGAGGAACGGGTGTCATGTCCCTCCAACACAAAGGGAGGATCCTCCGACCAGGCGAGGTGATCATGCCTGGCGGGCCACGGCCCAACGGTTGATGTTGGGAAGTTGTATATATGCTAATCGGCGAGGGAATTCTTTATATCGCGATATAGGATTAGCAATTCTTATTTTAGTAGTTACTCCGTAGTTCGGTGTGTCTTCATTAGATGGCGCTGTAGTATGTTTATGTGGGAGTCGCCACAGGGTCTTTATGTATCGTCTGAAAACAGCTTATTGGCAACAACGCGTAAGTACGTACGAAAAAATCGAATGATAAATCACTGGTCGTTCACAGTTCAGTGTGATTTTGTCCCATGCCTAATACAGAGTGTCACCACCCTTATTCATTCCGTGGGAGCCGACTAAGAGAGCAAACTACGCAGGACAACAGCACTGCAAAGAGAAGGAAATCTTGACACAAACCCTTTACCAACCCGTCTGGCCAGCGTGGTATAGTAGGCCAAAACGTCCTTTCTAAGGAGAGGCCTATGTACAGCAGTAGACTATGAAAGGCTGTTGATGATGATGTGATGACTTTTTTACATTGTAATCACCCACTAAGAAAAGATTATGGCCAATTTCATCCCTAATGGTATTCTTATTTCTTTTCTTTTTTAAAAGACAACTCCCGCATTAGGAATATATCCTGTGTCGCCAGGGACTTTACAAACATACACGAAACGGACACAAAGAACACCCAGACTCAGAACAACAATTTGTGGATCACACAAAGTGTCGTCCCATGTGGGGTTTGAACCCACAACACACGGTGTAGTAGGAAGCGGCGTGGCGACCACTACGCCATCCGTGCAGTCAGTATTGTATGGAAATTTGTCATATTAAAGTTAGATATAAGAAGTAAATTCGGAGACAGGCCAGTGGAAGTACAAACGCGATATAACTGCGCAATGAACCATCTTCTGAAAATAAATGGATGAGTACGCACACGTTATTTTAAGAAGTAATATAAATATTTTAATGTACTCTTTACGACAATTTATCAGTTAAGAGGTAAGCAGAGGATGAATATAGGTATTATCGTTTTGTCAGCTTGGTGGTTAAATGGTATATTAATTATTGTAACAAAAGGTGCATACAATTTAATAGCAGGCCCTGATTGCCAAATGATACAATACATTGTTATAACATTGTGGAACATACATAGAAACATACTTACAAAAGATATTTTAGTAATTTGTATGTGTATATGTGTGTGTGTGTGGGGGGGGGGGGAGAGTGTAAGTATTTGGATATGGCCCACGAGATTGTCAACATGTGGGATGTTGATTAGGCAATCATTGTACCGATATCTTGTTCCCTGTACCCGATACCAATGGGACACTATTTTTATAAATGTATTTTTTTGTACATAAATATATTTAAAAATGTAATTTATATGCATATTTAATGTAATTAAAAGAATCGAATTTATTCGTGTATCTTAGACCCATACTGTTCCACATTTACAAATACAAACAGATAAAAAAACTAAAATCAGATACAAAACCAACTTACTTCTGGTATCTCTCTACACGAACCTTGGAACAGTTGTTCATATAGGTGGAGTCGAGCCTAGCACCTATCACCCCCAGAATTCGATTGGGGCTGGCTGGCGCTCTGCAGAGCAAGGATGCCCATCGCTTTCGAAAAGCTTCAGTACAGTACAGCACGGTTTAGTAGTCAAGATCATTAAACATTAAATCAACAAGCCAGTTAAATACATACGACCTGGGCCAAGCCACTGTCATAACACTGACACGCTATTGAGATGCCATCGAGTGGCCATTGGCATCGGTATAAATATCGGTAGTCTACACTAACTCAGTGTCTTAACCTTATAATTTGCACTGCACGGATGGCGTAGTGGTTTAAGCGGTCGCCACGCCGCTTCCTACTACGCCGAGTGTTGTGGGTTCAAACCCCACATGGGACGACTCTTTGTGTGATCCACAAATTGTTGTTCTGAGTCTGGGTGTTCTTTGTGTCCGTTTCATGTAAGTTTGTAAAGTCCCCCGCGACACAGGATATATTCCTAATGCGGGAGTTGTCTTTTAAAAAAAAAAAAAAAAAAATTTGAAAATATATTACGTTTTTTTCAGGAAATTATTTATTTATTTTTCCAAATAAGGCAATCTTTTTGGTATCACCACTGATGAGCCACTGCCATTCCATCGCCACTGTAAAGACACTGAGTTAGTGTAGACTACCGATATTTATACAGATGCCAATGGCAACTCAATAGCGTGTCAGTGGTATGACAGTGGCTTGGCGTGAACATAAAATAGCAGAATTGAGGCCCTGATATATAGGAGAGTAACCAATACTGAACCAGCGCTTAAATTGGACCACTTCTTGGATGGCACTACTTGGTATATTGGCACAAAAAGGAGCGCTACAAACTGGCGGAGTATTAGTCGCGCTGCTAGTGCATCTTTCTGTTTTGCTAGTGTAAAAAAATAGTGCCATTTTGGTAGATATACAGAAGTGGTATAATTTAAGCTCCGGTTCAATAATGGTTACTGTCCCCTATAGGTATACCCATGGCTTTAAAGCTAAACCTAATATACGACGACGACGACCGAATGGCGTAGTGGTTTGTGTAACGGACTGCTATTCCAAAGATCGCGGGTTCGATTCCCGCTCAAGTCAAACATTTGTGTGCATGAACATTTAATGTTTGATTTGGTCTGGGTGTTTCTATGTATTTACAAAAAAAAGTATATATGTATTTGTATCAGTTGTCTACTACCCATAGTACAAGCTCTGCTTTGTTTGGGACTTGATGGCGTTGTGTGAATGTGGTACAACAAAAAAAAACCTAATATTATCCTGTCACCAAGACCTGGAGTGATTGCAATGGGTCTATCGACGTCATTAAACCGCTTCCGCGCGCGTGTACTTAGTGAGCTCTCATGCATGGCCATAGCGAAAAATAAGACTTAATGGGCCAGCGTGGTATAGTAGGCCGAAACCTCCTTTCTAAGGAGATGTCTATGTCCAGCAGGCAACTATTAAAGGCTGTTGATGTGATGTGAAAACTTCATAACCAAGCTTTCAAAGAAATGAGAGTAATCTGTACTAATATTATAAAGCTGAAGAGTTTGTTTGTTTGTTTGAACGCGCTAATCTCAGGAACTACTGGTTCGATTTGAAAAATTCTTTCAGTGTTAGATAGCCCATTTATCGAGGAAGGCTATAGGCTATATATCATCACGCTAAGACCAATAGGAGCGGAGCACCAATGAAGAATGTTTCAAAAACAGAGAAAATTTATTACTATTGAGAGACGCAGACGAAGTTGCGCGGGTCAGCTAGTAATAACTAAATTGAGACTTCACAAATACCGACGGCCGTATGGGGCCAAACTAGGCAGAGCCTGTGCTTTGGTAACCAGACTGCTGATAAACATACTTACACATAAATGTAATGTAGTCGTCTTAGTCGTCTCGTACGTCAGCCACGGGATGACTAGGGGTGGTGACACTCCGTATTCTTAATCCGTCACCACATGGTCATTATTGTTAGGGGCGGAAAACGGTTGAGGGAACATGGGGTTCCCACACGGGGGGGGTCGTCTACCTGTTGTTGTAGATGGCCCGAGGTATGACGGGGCACCAGGGACTTCCTTTCTAGGGTATACCTGATTCCCCGGCTATTAGTACCCGAGACGGCGTGCGGTTTTAGTCCGTTCGAGTCCGACATGCCACCGACAGGTGGTATCCGAGGGGATTTCCGCACGGAAAAAAAAAGGGGCGGAAAATGGTGAATTTGAGAGTTTAGGTATTCTAAATAATCATTATTCACTTATCAGTTCGTCATTACGTCATAATCTTAGATAAACAATGTAACTACAGTTTTATCAACGAGTATTTTTTCGATTGGCGTTGAATAGTAGTAAAATATAGATACAAAGCAGTATTGCGATATTTATATCACAGAATGATTATAATTAACTTTTAAATAGTCATCAATAAGCCTACACGATGATGATGAAGAGATCTACCAGCACCTCCAATATATACATACTAGCTGACCCGCGCAACTTCGTCTGCGTCTCTCAATAGTAATAAATTTTCTCCGTTTTTGAAACATTCTTCATTGGTGCTCCGCTCCTATTGGTCTTAGCGTGATGACATATAGCCTATAGCCTTCCTCGATAAATGGGTTATCTAACATTGAAAGAAATTTTCAAATCGGACCAGTAGTTAATGAGATTAGCGCGTTCAAACAAACAAACTCTTTAGCTTTATAATATTAGTATAGATAGGGTACGATTTCTATTCTACATCTAATAAGCATGAAGTGGACTCACGGGTACTTAGATTTTCAGTAACATAACCATAGTTTTTACACCTTAGTGGTACCACATTCGTTGTATGGAACTAAATATTCCAACGTCACGTTGACCGCTTACCATCAGACAAAGGAGTCGTGTACCTCTCAAATCTTTTACGATAACAGTCGTGAATATGTTCACAGAACGCTAACTCACCTCTCCCTGCTGATTTCTGCCTTCAGGAGTGTTCTCAGGTAGGAAGTAGAGCCGGAGGCTGACCAGCGTTTGATCTGACACACGGTCCGTCCATAGAAGCTGGAGTTCGCCTGCAAAGATACGTAATTATTAAAGAATCTAACATCGAAATATAACCAATTTTTAAGCAGTAGGTGGTACTCAGAAAAAACGTAACATTGGAAGGTTGTTTTTAGTTGATAGCTCTCGAAAGTCAGAAGAACAGCAGGCAAAACTATCACAGAAGGATATCCAAGACAGACGTAATCAGCGATATGTTCACCGAAAGGAACCTGAGCTGGGTTTGAGAGATAGAGGTCGGTCAGAAGTTTACAGATAATTCTCGGCCATTATTATGGATGTTAATATTTTAGTGATAAAGAGGGGGGGAGTAGTCGGGTCACCTGATGGAAAGTGACTACCGTTGCCTATGATCACTCATGTAACTCAAGAGACACAAGCGCCGGCCTTAGTGGTATGGTCTTTTCTTGAAGGTTTGGACGTCGTATCGGTTCGGAAATACCGCAGAAGACAATTTGTTCCACAGATCGCTCGTGTCAGACAAAAAGGAGGCCCATAGTGCAAATTATCTAAGTAATAGTGATGGAATATATACTGATGCTTTTAATAAATCCGATTCGAATTTAATCGTGTTACCTTGACACAGTAAATTCTGTACAGAATAAAAAAGATGCTTTACGCCATTGTCGACGTCTAAGCTGAAGCTTCCTGCTCTTGGGAGCAGGCAAAAAAAGCTATTTCCTCGTTGAACAAAAAGACCAACACGGTCAGTAAGTCAATATAGTAGGCAATTTGTCATATCAGTTAAAACCTACTATTGGTAATAGAAAAAATAACTGTGAACGTGGAAGTGACTCCTTATCTGAGTTAAATGTAATTTTGGGCATAAAAATACTTTTGAAAGAGAACGAGTGGAAGAACCTGGACAAAAGTTAATTTTAGGTTCTATGCAAGTTATTAATTAGTGACAAAAGATAGTTTAACAGTAAAATTATGCATGGCAGGGCACTCAGGAGACGAAAGACATTGTAAACCTGAAAAGGTTCTTTACAGACTATGAAACTTTAAAAGGTCTACCGCAATATATCCATCCTCCGAGCAGATATAAACAACCCTGGTCAATTTGATCAGAGTGCACGGATGGCGTAGTGGTATAAGCGGTCGCCACGCCGCTTCCTACTACGCCGAGTGTTGTGGGTTCAAACCCCACATGGGACGACACTTTGTGTGATCCACAAATTATTGTTCTGAGTCTGGGTGTTCTTTGTGTCCGTTTCATGTATGTTTGTGAAGTCCCCCGCGACACAGGATTTATTCCTAATGCGTTGGGCGTTGTCTTTTAAAAAAAAAAGAAGACTATTCAGTATGAACTAACTATAAGCTGGTATTTACAGATACTTAAGCTTACCTATGGAGACCAGTTCGGAGTCCTGCCAGATTCTGACGAAAAAGAAATCCCCTATGGCGATAATCTTATCGATGGTGCCAGTTAATCGTAGAGCCTTGTAGAAGGTGTACTGGCCGTGCTGGCCGCATGGAGCGCCCACCAGCTGTAAAAGAAACATATATTTTAGACAACATGGCAAGTTAACCTGCCTGTTGGTTTAGTGGTTAGTGGCCCTGATTGCTAAGCCGGAGGTCGTGGGTTCGATTCCCACCCAGGACAAATATTGAGTGATGAGCACAACCATTTCTTCTGTGTCTGGGTGTTATTTATTTATAATATGTATGTATTTAAAGATATATAGGTATGTTTATCAGCAGTCTGCTGCAGCAGTTACCATAGTACAGACTCTGCCTAGTTTGGGATCAGACGGCCGTGTGTGGGATGTGTGAAGTTATTTTTATTATTATTAATCATGTGCTCATCACACAATATTTATCCTGGGTGGGAATCGAACCCACGACCTCCGGTTTAGCAGTCAGGGTCACCAACCGCTAGAGTGATTATATTTGACGAGATTTTTTGTGATATTAGTATTAATGAAACGGACATTGTTAATTTTTTATGATAAAGTCAACTACCCTATTGGTTGTGCAGATTGTGTTGTGGGGTCAGACTATTCAAGTTATGGGAAGGGATGTTTTGTCGCCTTAAAAAAACTGCGGTGAACTCAACATTATTACATCCTGTTGGTCTAATGGTTAGCGACCCTGACTGCTAAGCCGGTGGTCGTGGGTTTGATTCCCACCCAAGACAAATGAGTGTGTGATGAGCGCGATTATTTCTTCTGTGTCTGGGTGTTCTTATCTATAATATTTATGCATTTAGAAGTATATAAGTTTACCATCAGTCTGGTTATCATAGCACAGGATCTGCCTCGTTTGGGATCAGACTGTGGAGTGTAAATTGTGATTTTTTTAAATATTATTACATTAAGTTTGAACGCTCATTGCCTACTTTGTAATATATATTATCTATTTTGAATAACAAATTAGTTTTTTTCGACGATACAAATATCTAAGTCTGGGTGTTCTTTGTTTCCGTTTCATGTATAATGCGGGTGTAGTGCTCCACTGCTAGCATGGATTACTTATCAACAAGTATAAAACTTGATTTTTCCATAATTATGCATCTCATGTACATTGCAATTGGTAAAAAGATGTTTTTATGAGACATTTTATATAGGTATATGCATAGACAACAGAAAAAATCCTAAACAGTGGTTTGTTTTCAATTATTCTCGTATCCTAGTCAGATTCCTTCCACCCTATGACACAATAGACCCACCCCAAGCCAAGCATAGCCGGGTGCAATGACAATATACAGAACGGATGTAAGGTTGTTAGCGGTACAGTCAGCACATCAGCCGGTCACTCACCCATATATTTATTTGTTCAACGTGATTGGTTTTATTAAGTTCTGACTTCATTTTAGGGTCTTAACGCAACAGAGTGAATTCTAATTATTAATTAATTTGCCAGAAGGTATCGGATATTATTCAGTTACCGTTGATAACGAAATTCGGGTCGATATTTTGGTAAATTATGCTTTCCGTGTGGTGATGAATTAAGAATACGGAGTGTCACCACCCCTATTCATCCCGTGGGTGTCGTAACTGTTAAGAGAAGGAAAAATTGAAACAAAATCTTTACCAACCCGTCTGGCCAGCGTGGTACAGTAGGCCAAAACCTCCTTTCTAAGGAGAGGCCTATGTCCAACAGTGGACTATTACAGGCTGATGATGTGATGATGCATTATTTGACTATGAGTTATTGTGTCAGTGATTAAAAAATGTATAAAATAATAAATAATCTAAGCAGTGCCTGTGTTATAATAATCAGATTACTGATAAATATACTTATATTTTACTAAATACACACAATATTGTAGACTAGCTGGCACCGCCGACTTAGTTCCCGTGAAATTAGAAAAGGCCTCCCTTAGTAGTTTGATTCCCGGACCAAGCAATTTTTTTGTTTTTCTGAGAGTCAAAATAGCCTTAGTTACTCTTTATATAAACAGCTACCTAGTAGTAAAATATTATCAAAATCAGTCACGCCGTTTTAAAGATTACCAGGAACAAAGAGACAGACAGACAGACAAAAAATATTTAAGCTGGTTTTTAAGCATTGGTATCCCGCAAATAATCGTGCGAGCATGAAAAAAACCGAAACGAAGTCACGGGTACCAGCTAGTAAGTATACCATAAAAAATGTGAGCAAAATCAAGTGCAAAAGCTTGTTTTAATATAAAAATCATACCTAATTAATAAATTATTTAGGTCAATTACATAACAACGTTAAATGAGAATTAAAATTTAGGTATGAAATATGCACCTAAGTGATGACTCATCAGCAAGATGTTCACACAGGAAAATAATATGTTTGTTAGTCATCATGACCCTGATATAGCGTAGTCTGTGTCCAGTCAGACATAGTCGCGTCTAACACACATACATTCACACTTTTATCTTCAAAGAGGTAGGCTGAGGCGTGAGACAGATGGAATAATGATAATATTTCGGACAGCTAACACATAACGCCATCTAGTTTCAAACTAACCAGATCTTGTACTATGAAAGCTAGATTGACTGATAGAATACTTTAAAACTCTTTTTTTTTTTGTAAATATTATACATACATCGCACCCTCAGTAATATAAAGGCATAATACAAAAAAGTTGTTTTTTGGATTGCACAAAATTCTGGATAATTTTAATTGCGTTTAAAATTCTATTTTTCGAATGAAATGCTTATTATTTAAGTTATAAGTGTGAAATTTGGCTGAGTTATAATTTGATAACTATACTATGCACAGCCATGAAAAAAAATTGATAATATAAATAAATTCCATAAATTACAAATAATTGACAAAACACTTTTAAATAAAGCCATTTGGTACCAAAAACATCTCTACTTTTTGTCAATTTAGCGATCTATTATGAATCAGACCTTTAAATATACTAAATTTTGCATAAAAATAAAGGCGCAACTACAAATTGTTTTATATAATACAAAAAGTTAGAACAAGACACCTGTTTTTTTGCACAAACATGAATGGAACAAAGTTTTGACGGTTCTCTATCGGCAAACATGGACACGTTACTGCTTGTGACCTTGTGGCACTAAAAACGGGATATATTTGGCAGACTTCAATTTTGTTCCCACCTACGTCTTAGGGGTCAAGTTTATAGCAGTTGAGAGAGAACTTAGATGAGGAAATACCTTGAGCAGGTCAGGGTGGCATTCCTGGTACTCGAATTGGCTGTTGGCGGTTTGTTAATTTTAAGTAGCTACACATTTTTACATACTAGGGTTTTTTTTTTAAATAATTAGTTTGTTTCTATCACATCACATTAAAAGCTTTTAGTTGTTCACTGTTGGACATAGGTCTCTCTTTAGAATGAAAGTTTTGGCTTACTATTCAACGCTGGCCAAAAGGGTTGGTATAGGATTTATTTCAAGATTTCCTTCTCTTTACACAGTGCTGTTGTCCTGCGTAGTTTGCTCCCTTTTTTTTCCGTGCGGAAATCCCCTCGGATACCACCGGTGGCATGTCGGACTCGAACCGACTAAAACCGCACGCCGTCTCTGGTACTAATAGCCGGGGAACCAGGTATACCCTAGTAAGAAAGTCCCTGGTGCACGTAGTTTGCTCCCTGAGTCGGCTCTTACCCAAGAAGAGAATAGGGGTGGTGACACTCCGTATTTTTAATCCGTCACCACACAGACAATGTTTGCATATGCAGCCTGTATCATCGCATTTGGAAGGAAGCTGTTTTTAGACACTAGCTGAGACCCGCGGTGTTACCCGCGTTTGTTGTAATAACCGCGGGCAACGCCGCGGGGCGAAGCTAGTCTAAAAAAAAGTAGCCTAAGTTACTCCTTATGTCATCAGCTATCTGCCAGTGAAAGTCCCGTCGAAATCGGTCCAGCCGTTTCAGAGATTACCCGGAACAAACAAACATACAGACAGACAAAAATTGTAAAAAATGTTATTTTGGCATATGTACCGTGTAAACATACATATGCATTTGGTAAAAAGCGGTTTTTTAATATTACAAACAGACACTCCAATTTTATTTATTTGTATAGATACCAAACTGATACACGAGCTATATAAATAAAAACCCCGACATTTTAGACGGGCCTGTTGGTCTAGTGGTTAGTGACCCTGACTGCTAAGCCGGAGGTCGTGGGTTCGATTCCCACCCAGGACAAATATTGTGTGATGAGCACGGTCATTTGTTCTGTGTCTGGGTGTAATTTATCTATAATATGTATGTATTTAAAAATATATAAGTATGTTTATCAGCGGTCTGGTTACCATAGTACAGGCTCTGCCTAGTTTGGGATCAGACGGCCGTGTGTGAGATGTGTGAGATATTATTATTATTTTTGTTTAAATTATTAGCTTGTGTAAATAAGTGAAGTTAAACATGTCAAATCTCATCTACACTAATATTATGAAGAAAAAAGTAATTCTGTCTGTCTGTATACCACGCTTTAACGTCTTAATTACTCAACTTTCACAAGGTTTCAGATACCTCAGACATATATGTAGTATACCATTCATCCCGGAAACTGATCCTGTTAAGAGTGAAGCTGCATACAAAAGCTTTATAAATGTAGATAAGCATAAATCATAGGATAAAATTATTAATAAAGTGTTATTTAGCTCAAATCTTTCTTAAATTACCTAAAAAAAATCTGTGTAAACCGGAACTTATCGTAAAAATTAATAGAAAGTACAATACTATTTTTATAATAGTACCCAGCTTTTCGATTATTTCTAAGTAATATATGTGCTTAATTATAATCGCAAAATCTAAAAACTCCATTATGGATTATTTTTTTTATACCCTAAATTAAGTCAACTAAGTTATCTGCCTATTAAATCCTTTAAAAAAAATAGTTGAACGGATTCAAACAATAACTACAAAGAGCACTAAAAACCTAGCAGCAATCGCGGTTAATTTGCTATCATTTTTTTAAGAGTTCCGTTGTCTGTCTCGGATTTTTTTTATCAGATCTATATGAAATCAAAATGGGACCATTTCGGAATAAACCCCTTTCGAACAAAATCTGATACTCGAAAATCTGTCTGTATATGACAAAGTTATGCTTAAACAACATAAAAAAAAAACATACGAATTGTACCCATTTTTTAAGGTGGTTAAAAACAACATTTATCACACCTAAGCGATATAACCAGCCTACATCATAACTAACAGGAAAATAATACACCTACAATAAAATCAATACTAAACACCTACAATAAAAACGAAACTTCGAGAAATAAAAAAAAATAAGACAACGTTTAACATGCTAACGGTACTTTTCAAAGTTAAAGTGAATCAATAAGTATAAAATTGAACGAGGTGCGTGTGAGCGAGACGATACTATAACGGTAAGGGATAGCAATAGTTTTGTCAGTACCTGTACGTATTGAAGATGAAATTGTTTAAAAATACGTGATGGGTGTAAAGAAATGAATCTTTGGATGCTGATGTGAAAAACATTGAGGAATTATTGGAAGCTTCTCAAACTTACTGAGATTTATACCCAGATTAGATAAAATGTAGAAGGATGAAATAGGTAATAGTGTCCTCTTTTCCTCCATTTTCTAATAATATAATATACTAGCTGAGACCCGCGGTGTTACCCGCGTTTGTTGCTATAACCGCGGGCAACGCCGCGGGGCGAAGCTAGTCTAAAAAAAGTAGCCTAAGTTACTCCTTATGTCATCAGCTATCTGCCAGTGAAAGTCCCGTCATAATCGGTATAGCCGTTCCAGAGATTACCCGAAACAAACAGACAGACAGACAAAAATTGTAAAAAGTGTTATTTTGGCATATGTACCGTGTAAACATGCATATGCATTTAGTAAAAAGCGGTTTCACTGGCAGATAGCTGATGACATAAGGAGTAACTTAGGATACTTTTTTTAGACTAGCTTCGCCCCGCGGCGTTGCCCGCGGTTATAACAACAAACGCGGGTAACACCGCGGGTCTCAGCTAGTTAATAATATAATAATACATGGCATGTATAGTTACCATGATTGTATCCTACTATATTAATTAGAAACAAAACATTCTACTGTATATGTGGTGGTGTTATCTTCCTCTCTCCCAAAGAAACTGTGCTGCGCCCGACAGGGTCCATAATAGGGAATATGCATGTAATTTTTTTATTTTTTTTAACGATTCTACTAGTTGTTACATTACCAAAAATAAATATAACACATCCGAAATATAAACCGTTAAGCAAAAAAAATATTATTAAAATCACTGTAATTTTGGGGCAATTTGAACACGTCCATTTTGGCGCTCTTTTTTTGTGACGTCAGATTACACTTTCAGACGAATTCGATGTCAACAACAAAGTGAAGTTCACAAAGTTTCTGAAAGTTAAAAAAGTGAGTGATAAA